GGTGGAACAGGGAGGGGGCCAGAGAGGAGTGTGCACCAGGGACAAGGCATTCAGGCCCTGAGAGTGCCCCCACCCAGGGAGCGAGCTTCATTAGCCACCGGAAAAGTTCCTTCCCAGACGGCCTTGATGTCTCATGGTTCCAGGGACCAGGCTGTCCGCAGGCACGTGCAGCAGAAAAGGGCAGCTGTCCTTGTCCATTTTCCAAAGCTGAGTTTAGCCTCAGCTCGTTCTGCCCTGGGGAAACCACTTCTCACAACAGGGTTCGCTAGGCAGGCCTGGGAGTCAGAGCTGTGGGCCCTTGTCCAGGCCTTCCTCACTGCGTGAGCCTGGCTGGGCCCGAGGTCTGGGCGTCCCCCACTCCAACAAGCTCTGCCTCTGGGCCTGCAGGTGCTCTGCAAGATCTCACCTTGTCACAGCAGCCCTCATCCACCTGGAAGGGCACGGAGCTCCTGACGGCCATGCCCACGGCCCCAGAGCCCAGCGGCACAGATAACACCGCCACCTCCACGTCCGTCCTGCCGGCTGGAGAGAGGCCTGAGGACAGAGAGGCAGTGCTTCCGGGAGAGGTGGAGCCTGGCTTCACGGCCAGGGAGAAGGAGACCACCCACCCACCCGGTGAGACCACGCCACAGCCGACCACTCACCAGGCATCAACAGCAAGAGCCACCACGGCCCAGGGGCCTGTCACCTCCCATCCCCACAGGGACATGAAGCCTGACCACCATGAGACCTCAGCTCCTGCAGGACCCAGCCAGCTCGACTCTCACGCGCCCAGCGTGGAGGACCGTGGTCCTTCTGCCACTGAGAAGGCTGCCGAGGATGGGGTCTCCACTCAGCTCCCAGCAGGAGAGGGCTCTGGGGAGCAGGTGAGTGCTCACTGGTATCCTCTGTGTTTCCTGGGACGTTAGTACCGCTGGCTTGGTCATCTGGCACACTCAACACCCTGTGCCCCGTAAGCGTGTCCTGTTCCCGCCAGGAAGACAGGCTCACGCGGTCCCACCTTCCCCCTGCCTCCGGGGCCGAGCCCAGAGCGGGACAGACTAAATATGAGACCTGAGCAAAGGAGTCCTTCAAGATCCCCTAAAACAGGGCTTCCCAAACTTAAGCAGGGCCCCTGCTGCGGGGCAGGGGAGAAGCCCTACCAGGTCTTTCTTTAGATCTTAGAGTCATGGTCATTTTACACTTTACATTACAATGAGCCTATTTATTTTCATATAAATACAAGCGCTTTGTCTCGCTTGCTGTGATATCTGCCACAGTCCAGCCAGGGTCTGGTGTGATGTGGTGAGAGGTGCCTGGCTTTGGGGTCCCTGAGGGCTGGGTTGGGTGTGTCTGAGCTGGTGGCAGCGGTGACCAGGGACTCCCGAGCTGCTTCTGGGTTTAGAAATAAAACTGGATGCTGCTGCTGGTGGTGGCCCTCCGCAGCCTGCAACTGTCCCTGCCCGCCCGTAGGACTTCACCTTTGACATATCTGGGGAGAACACAGCCGTGGCCGCTGTGGAGCCCGACCAGCGGAATCAGCCCCCAGTGGACCGTGGGGCCACGGGGGCCTCCCAGGGCCTCCTGGACCGGAAGGAAGTGCTGGGAGGTGAGTTCCTTTCAGGTGGGTGGTAGGGGGGTGCATACCGCTGCTTGGGGGTTGGGGCGCTGGAGTGGGGCTGAGCGCGGCCACCTCGGGGGCTGCCCGGTGTGAGGGAACTACTGCCTAACTGAGCTGAGCCGGCCTCCCTGCCCACCCCCCCAACAGGGGTCATCGCTGGAGGCCTCGTGGGGCTCATCTTCGCCGTGTGCCTGGTGGGTTTCATGCTGTACCGGATGAAGAAGAAGGACGAGGGCAGCTACTCCTTGGAGGAGCCCAAACAAGCCAACGGCGGGGCCTACCAGAAGCCCAGCAAACAGGAGGAGTTCTACGCCTGACAGGGACGGGGCTCCTCCTGCCCCTGCCACTCGCTAGGCCCCCACTTGCCTCTTCCACGAAGAACTGCAGGCCCTGCCACCATGCCACCTCCCCGGCTCCCTGCCCACGGACTTCCGGGGCACGCTGGGGGCTCTCCTCTGCTTCTCTGACTTCTGCCTGGAGACTTGGGCGCAAGGGCTTTCTCGCACGTGACTTTTCTGCCACCGCCAGCACCTGGCATCTCATCATTCTGACTCAGTTTCTCCAACCTGGAGCAGCCCCTCCCCGGACCCGATTCTGGAGACAAAGGGGACCCTGCTGCTTTGGACCTGGATGGCCCGCTTGGCTGAGGGCTGGCTCATCTGTCGCACTTGCTGGTGGAGACCAGTGGTCTGGGGGCACATTTCCACCCTTGAGTGGCAGGGAGAGGAGTTCGGAGCTCCATCAGAGCGACGTTTTGCGGGGAGGTCTCATTTAGATACCAACTTGTTTTTGCACATGTTTCCTCTAGTTTCTTTGTTCATAGCCCAGTAGACTTGGTTACTCCCGAGGTAAGTTAAGTAAGTTGATTTGGTTACCCCCATCTTGCTTCCCTAATCTATGGCGAGGAGACAGCATCAGGGTTAAGAAGACTGTTTTTGTTGTTGTTGTTGTTTTGTTTTTTAACTAGGAGAACCAAATCTGGAAGCCAACGTGTAGGCCTAGTCGGTGTGTTGTCTCTGAGTTTGTCACTCACGTGTGCAACAGGGTATGGAATGTCTGTCGGGTGGCCCTATTGGGGGGGCTGGCTGATCCTGGCAGCCGTGGGCAGTCACGTCTGGAGCGGTCACGCTTGTGTCCACGGACTCGGGGCCGCTGCCGTGGCCCAGGCTGCCGCGATGTTGAGCTGTGTGAGGACGGAATCCCGGCACCTCAAGCTGGGGACCGAGAAGAGAGGACTGTGGGGTGAGCGAGGTGGTAGTGGCCCCAGAGAATCTCCTGAAGACCGAGCCCTTCCTTTGGTGCTGTCTCTGGGGCACATTTTCTTCTAGAAGGTGATGAGAGGGGCCTGGGCACACCTGTCATGGAGCTGCTCCACGTACGACCAGGTTCACCTCTGATTAGCTCCTGTGGCCCTGCCCCCTGGGCTGGAATCAGGAATATTCCAAAGAGAGATAGTCTTTTGCTTTTGGCAAAACTCTACTTAATCCAATGGGTTTTTCCCTGTACAGTAGATTTTCCAAATGTAATAAACTTTAATATAAAGTAGTCATGTGAACTCTACTTGCCTTTGCCTCTTCTCTCTGTGCTGGCTGTGTGGACCAGCCTTTTCTCTAAACACAAATGATATTGGGAAACTTGGCTAAAAACTCTATGCCTTTATCTTTCTCGTGGGGAGGGATGCTGCGGCCAGAGTCCCTCTGATTTGTTTCCTTTTTGTTTTTCGTCTTTGCTGAAATTCTGCTGGAGGTCGGTAGGTTCAGCCAAGGTTACATAAGGCCTGATATGAATTTCTGTGTTGCCAACCTCGACGCACTGTCTCCTGAATGGCTTATGAAGCTCTGATGGCTTTGGCACAGCTTTACCTGGGGCCATTGGCCCCGCGGAGGCCTGGGGCCAAGGCCTGCTCTCGGACACCTTGGACAGACCTCCTCTCACACCTTTGCTGGGACCAGAGCCTCCAGCCCAGTCCTCCTGGGAACTCCCACGCTCGCCTGTCTGACAACGTCCCGCTGCTCTGTTGGACGCTCCAAGAGGGGGGCCATCTGTGACTCTGAGATGCTCCGCCAAGCAAAGGGAACCCGTGCTCTGTGTTCCATACTGAGACTTTCTGCCCGGAGTGTGTGATTGGACAAGACTCGGGGGATGGGGAAGGGGTCTGTGACTGCTCATCTCTGCTCCTCCCTGGGATGGGCTGAGCCTGTGGCTGGGCCCATTCACGGAACTGTAATAAACAGCACTTGTCATTTTGGGCTGTGGTGGTGGTTGAGTCTCTTCTTGGCCTGGCGATGTCCTTCCCTGTCACCTTCTTGGAGAGAGACTGGTTCTGGGCTGTGATGTGCCTCGGTGGTGAACAGTAGGATCAGTGCCAGTCCCTCTGCAGTGAGGGAGTGCTGTGTCCCCCCTCTGTCTGGCCTTGGTTGTCCTACCTCCTCCCAGGGGTCTCTGTCTCCTGCCCAGATCGTCCTTCTTGCTCTCCTAGATCCTTCCCTACCTTGTGGACACGAGAGCTTCCTACTGACTGAAAGTTTGCTAGCTACTCTGCGCACTCATTGTCATGCAACACCCGAACGCTCCCCAGCAAAGTGCCAAAAGCCTAGAAATGTCTACATGGAAAAACTACAGTGAAAAATTTGAAAGTCGAAAAAGCACAATGCACGGCAGGAGCCCAGTGTCCTGAGGGCACCTGGCTGCCCTCCCCTTAGAGTCCCATCCAGGCTGCCACCCAGCCCCTCAGCTGCCCCTCTGTGGCCGGTCTCCCTGCCCGGGGCTCCTGGCATCGGAACCCCCGGCTTCAGGTGCTATCCTGAACCCCAGGTGTGTCCTGGGAATGTAGGGCAAGAGGGACCATTCCTTCCAGGGCCCTGCACCTGTGGGTGGAGTGGGGACAGCAGGCTCTGGGCGGCATTGCAGAGTGAATTATGCTTTCCCCCGACATATTGTGCTCAGAGTGTTCGGAGGCTGAGACAAAGACCTTAGCTCATCCATTTGTTCTACACTGAAAACACTGAATGCCTATTTTCTGCCAGCCCCTACTTACAGTCGTAAATAGGCAACTTGAATATTAACACTTCTACTGAGCTCACTATGGGCCAGGGGCTGCTCCACACCACACCTGGGTTATTTCATCCACCACCGACAGCTAACCCATCTCTGAGACCTCACTACCGTGTGCCCCCTTCACAGACACAAACTGGCACACAGAGGAAGCAACATGTCAGTGAGCAGCGGAGCTGGGTTTGGACGCAGGCAGCCTGGCCCCCGAGTCCACGGTGGGCCGTGCATACACTGAAGGCAGCACTAGGACTGAGAGGACTCGACGTCCCTTCCACGTGGGACCTGCAAGGTTCCAAGACCCAGCGTCCACCTGCTCCCATCGTCTCTAAATGGCAAAGCTGTGCCGCTGCCCGCGGCTTCTCTTGCTCTGCTAATTCCCTTTCTGGGTCTGTGCTCCAGTGTGTGGTGCTCTGTGCTCCTGCCGGGAGCATCCCCACCAGACGGCATTACCCAAACAGGATGGTGCCATAAAGCCAGGTTCACTCAGTGAACCTAACAGAGAAGTGAAAATGTGAAGGGGGTTAACATCATATTCAGGTTTCTCAGGCACCCCTGCCTCAGGGGATTTCTCCCTGCCCTTCTCAGTCCTTAGCTTGCTGCCCTGCTTCCCACCACCTTGACCCCCTTCTCCCCTCTTTTCTGCGTTTTCAAGACTCCCCCTGCCCCCCTCTGCTGGGAATGGAGCAAGGAGTGATGTGTCCTTTTTTCCTCACCTTTACATCTCACCGTGGTGCGCCTGGCCATGTGTTCCTACGTTGTGTGGGGATGAGGGCTCCTTGAATTTTCCACCAAGAGTTCGTACAAGTTCTTTCCTCAACTGACGAGCGAGCCATCTCCTAAATCGATTGTCACCTTCTTAATTTAAGCCAGTTTCTGTTTTAAATTGTACTTTCTGCCTCGCTTGCCTCTCAAGTTTGCTCCAGATCACAAGGTTACCCTGTGCCTTCACATCCAGAACAAAGATGCTCCGTGCTCCTCTCGGGGACGTCATGGTAGGGGGCTCAGTGTGGGTAGGTTGGGAGAGGTACCCAGAGGTGGCACTTGAAGGACAGAGGCATCTCAAATGGGGGGTGGGGGTGGGAGGCATTTCAGGCAGAAGGTCCAGCTTTGGCAAAAATAGGGATTCAAAGGGCACCTGGGTGGCTCAGTTGGTTAAGCGTCCGACTTTGGCTCAGGGGTCATGATCTCGAGGTCTGTGAGTTCGAGCCCCTCGTCAAGCTCTGTGCTGACAGCTCAGAGCCTGGAGTCTGCTTTGTATTCTGTGTGTCCCCCTCTCTCTGCCCCTCCCCTGCTCTCGCTCTGTCTCTCTCTCAAAAATAAATAAACATTAAAAAATTTTTTATGGACTCAAGAGGCTTCATGCTGATGAGGCATGAACACAGGTGTGGGAAGAGACGATGCTGGAATATGGTGAGAAGTCACCTGCAACTTCTCTGCGGGTCTTTGAGGAGCGAGCAGATCCGGGAACCGGAGGGGCGAGCAGATCCGGGAACCGGAGGGATGTGAGGCTGAATCCCAGGACAGCAAAGAGATGGGGAAGAGGAGCTGGGTTTGAAAACTTGTTCAGAGGTGAAACCGGCAGAACCTGTAAGGCCTGTCCCCACTTCACTGGGCCTCACCTTGCCCTCCCCAGGTGCACTTCTCACGTGGAGTGAAGGTTGTCCTCTGAGCGGGTGGTCATGGGGGGCAGAGGTGATGGGAGCCCACTGCTGGGCCTCAGGGGGGTCATCTGATGCCACCTCCCAGGTTGGCATTTCTGGTAGGTGGACCCCAAGAAGCATCTGGGGAAAAAGTCTTCTTTTAAATGGGTCTGCAGGGGACTGCCACGCAGGAGTGTGGGGCTGTGCCCCCTGCTCCGAGGCTCGCTCTCCACCTCTGTCTCCGTCAGCACCACCCCCCCCCCCCCCCCCCCCAGCATCATAGCACCCTGTCACCCAGTGCCTTCTTTGAGCATCACCAGCTCTACACCTGCTGGCGGAGTGCGGGGGTGCGTGTGAACGCACTCCCAAATCGGGCCCTTGGCCGTGTTACCGTATACCTGCTTTGCTTCAAGCCTGGGCTCACAGCTCTAAGGAGAGGCACTGAGGCCTCTGTGCCCCTGAACTTCTGGGTCACTCCTCTTGGCACCTCTCACCACATTACCTAGGTGTGTGCTTCCACATTGGCTTCCTGCTACCCTGGGTGCCTCCTGCAGGCAGACGCTTTATTATGACCCAGCACGAGGCATGCGCTCACTGCAGAAAGGGAGTCTTTGCCTTTGGGG